TCAAATGTTGGGCGGAGGGTAATTCTCCCACCTTCTTTTATTGGGGGCCCCAGAGACATGCGTAGGAGGTACATGGATGCAATGGTTTTGGTCCAGCATTACGGGAAGCCAGACATTTTCCTAACAATGACATGTAATCCAAATTGGCCGGAAATTAAAAACCTTTTCCAGCACAATGATGAGGCTTAAAATAGACCAAATTTGATTGCAGGGGTGTTTCGAGCGAAGATAGAAGAACTCAAGGTTGACCTCATAAAGAAAAAGTTGTTAGGTGTAGTAATTGCATATACCTATGTGATTGAATTTCAAAAATGAGGCCTCCCACATGCTAATTTCTTATTAATACTAGGGAGAAACCATAAGTACCGTACAAGCGTTGAAATTGATACACTTATCAGTGCTGAAATACCAAATCCAGTGGAAACACCAGCATTGCACTCTTTAGTGGCAAAACATATGATGCATGGTCCTTGTGGTTCCATTAACCCTGACAATCCTTGCATGACCAAGAAAATGGGTGTCTAAATTTGCAAGAATAAATATCCTAGAGATTATTCTGAGACAACAATATTGGGTGATAACTCATATCCCATTTATAAGCGCCGACGAAACTCAAGATGTCTTACAGTACGGGGAAAACGTTTGGATAATAGATGGGTCGTCCCTTATAACCCTTATCTATTGTCAAAGTATGACTGTCATATTAATGTTGAGATATGTGCCGGTATCAAATGTGTCATGTACATTTACAAATACATTTACAAAGGCCATGATCGAGTTGCAATCAATTTAGGCCCTGGGGAAGAGAATGATGCAATTAATGAAATTGAAGACTTCCAAAAAGCTCGGTGGGTGTCCCCTCCTGAAGCTGCTTGGAGAATATATGCTTTCTCCCTTTCAAAAATCAAACCATCCGTTGTACATTTGCCTATTCATTTGGAGAACTACCAATATATGAGGCTTGATAACAAGAAAAAGTTGTCTGACCTTGTGGAAAATGAATTGAGCCAAAGAACAATGTTGACTCGGTTCTTTTCAATGAACACAACAGATGAAACAACTAAGAGGCTAAATTTGTTGTATGTCCATTTTCCAGAGTATTTTGTTTGGGTCGAGAAAGACAAGAAATGGGCTCCACGTAAGAAAAGGGAAGTGATTGGGAGGCTTGTGAGTGTGAACCCCGCGGAAGGTGATATGTACTATTTGCGATTGCTATTGATGAATGTAAAAGCACCAAAGTCATACGAACACCTTAAAACGGTGGGTTCAGATGTCACTGCAACTTTTAGAGAAGCTGCACAAAAGTTGGGGTTATTACAAAGCGATCAAGTCATACAACAATGTCTGGAAGAAGCAATGTGTTGGCAAATGTCTTTCAACTTTCGTAAACTATTTGCAACACTACTCGCATTTTGTGATATTGCTCAGCCACGTGAATTGTGGCTGCAATATAAAGAACACCTATGTGAGGATCTACTCCGGTTTTCAACAAATAGCCTCGACGTAGAATACACTTGCCTCCTCCAAATGAACGATGCACTTGCAACCATTGGAAGGAATATCAATGATTTTTCATTGGTCCCTTTTCATATTGGTATTAAGAAAGAGCACAGAATTCAAAAGGAGATAGAAGCAGAACGGAGTTTGCTGCCTAATGAAGTTGACTTATTAGCTATTCAATCGTTGAATACACCTCAACAAGCAGCATTCGACACAATCATAAGTCGTGTTCACTCTGGTAATGGGGGAGTATTCTTCATAGATGGGCCGGGCGGTACCGGAAAAACTTTTTTGTATCGATGCCTCTTGGCAAAAGTACGATAAAACGTGAAATTGCACTTGCAACAGCAACCTCTGGTGTTGCAGCTTCACTCTTGCCCGATGGCCGAACAGGCCATTCTAGGTTCAAAATACCGATAAACACAGATGATAGGTTTGTGTGCAATATCGGAAAGCAAAGTGTTGAAGCAACATTAATAAGAGACTGCAAGTTGATTTTGTGGGATGAAGCAACAATGGCCAATCGGAAAACGATCAAAAATGTTGACACCACACTGCGAGACATCACAAATTGTGATAGCATATTTGGCAATAAAGTAGTAGTGTTTGGAGGTGATTTTCGACAAACCTTGCCCGTAATTAGGGCTGGGAGCAGAAGAGATTTAATTACAGCTAGCTTAGTCAGATCAAAAACTATTTGGCCACCCGTTGAAAGATTAGTGTTGACCCAAAATATGCGAGCTAAAGAAGATCCATCTTTTTCAGAATACTTGATGCGAGTGGGTAATGGAACCGAAAACACTATTGTCGGAGATTGTATTGAAATTCCAGAATCATTTCTTATTCTATACACAACAGAAACTGAATCTTTGAACAAGTTGCTTAACATCGTGTTCCCAAACCTAAACGAATTCATCAATGACCCATACCCGCTGATGAAACGAGCAATACTGACGACCAAAAATGAATTCGTCGATGACCTAAATAACACCTTGATCTCCACCATGCCCGGTGAAGAGAATTGCTACATTAGTTATGATGAGTTGCTCGATCGATCTTCACATCATGAGTATGTAGACTTCTTACACACAATCACATTGTCTGGATTACCTCCCCACAAATTGGTATTGAAAAAAAATGCCCATTAATCCTACTATGGAACCTAAACCCAGCCGAAGGGTTGTGTAACGGGACCCGCTTAATATGTGATGACTTTCGAGATCATGTTATTAGTTGTTTCATAGCATCGGGAGAACACAAGGGCAAACATGTTTTCATACCAAAAATACCCCTTGAACCTTCAAAGGATGACAATTGTCCGTTTCCATTCAAGCGACATCAATTCCCCATCAAGGTCTGCTTTGCTATGACAATAAATAAGGCACAAGGGCAAACATTTGATTTTGTTGGGCTATACCTAAAAGAACCAGTCTTCTCGCACGGTCAACTATATGTCGCAATGTCATGGGTAAAAAAGCAGATTGTTTAAAAGTGTTAATTTGAAATAGCTCTTTAGACACACACCATACAAATATCACTCAAAACATTATGTATCAAGAGATATTGAATGAAGCATGCAAAGCTCCTACAACCAAATAGATTAGTCCTACACATTATGTGATTTTACTACAATTGTTTTGCCATTAAATAATTCTCACAATGTATACAGGTTGCTATGGCAAAAGCACTTGACTTAGTGGACATCACCCCACAAATGAGAGGATGGAGTTGTCAAGTACGTATTGTGAAAAAATTCGATGAAAAGTTGTCAAGCAACACACCTGGAAAATGTTTCATGCAAATCCTGCTCGAAGACAAACAGGTAACCATCATTTTCCACTACACTCGGTACCATCTTATACTATTGTATGTTGTTTAATGCTACATTGCCCTAAAGACTTGAGTGGTCATAGCTTATTTTGAACTTTAAATGAATACATAAACTCTGTTTGGTAACAGTAATATGATTAAAAATTTTGATGATATCTGTTATGCTATTTTATAGAAGAGACCTGAACTTTTCATTTGTTTGGTAATATAATCTTAGAATGCTTTCATTAAAACATTGAATTGTTCCCCTTTTTTAATTCAGCGCCAAATATGCCCAACAGTTCACCTACATTAATACTACCTCCATCCTCAATAAAAGCTCCTCATTAAACATGGTTATTTACTACATAAATCCATATACATGTTGGTTTATCTAAATTTATCACATTTAGTTTTTTAAATTATAGTGATCACTATTGGCCATATTTTTAGATTAACTAAATATAATGCTTCATTTGTGTGGAACTGTTTCTCTAAAAAATTACACGAAAGCTTAGTCTTATTTGTTCAACAATTGTTCTTTTTCTACACACAAAAGTCTTTTGGGCATGATACTTTGTTCTGATGGAAGGTGTTATTTTTAACTTTCATTTTCTAGCTGCATTTTTTCAGCTATTAGCTCAACATGTCAAACATGGCTTAAAGAATTAGTGACATGACCAATTATATTGTATTTTGTTCTAATTAGGGTAGTAGTAGTTCCTGAAGTGTGACAAATTAGATGGACTGTGGTTCCCTTAACTTCAACTCATATTAGTAGTATAAAATCTTTAACATTTGGATTAAAACAGCAGCCACTTCATATTAGTAATCTAAAATTTTACAGCATCCAGTCAACTTCAACTTCTAAGCCAGATACATAGTTCATAGCATCCAGTTTTAACATAATCTTTAATATTAGAGATTTTACACCATTACATCATATTACTTTAAGTTCGAAACTTCAACAGTTTATGGTCATACATATGTAATTGTTTTGGTTGTGTAAATAGCATCTTCTATTCTCTTTATTGCTTCATTTAAGTCATTTTGATCGATCGGTAAATCTATACAAATCTACACAATAAGGGAGTCAACAACTAGCAATTTTCAGGTCTTCATTCTGCAAGAATGGATATCAGACATTTAAATATGTCTCCTATATTTGCTAACCAGGACTTATTATCATTTACGCAGTTCGTACTTTCAAATTATATGTGGAAACAGTTAATTATGTTTTTAAAAAAACGTCTTTATCTCTCTTATAATGAAACCATTGACCAATCTAAACACCTTTATTAATGATTAAAAAGGGAATCCGAGTTCAAGCGGTGATTTTTCACAACGACATCCCAAGATACAACTCCACACTCCATCTTGACTCCTGCTACACCATTTCCAATGCGAGTGTCAAACCTCAACGCCCTAATTACAGTGTTCCAGATGAGAGGTACAAGTACACATGGATATTAAGTGGTCGTACAGTCGTCCAACCGCTACGTGATTCATCTGCTTTCATCGATGCAAATAACAATGTATACAACACTTTATATGATGTTTACCACCGCATGAAATCTGGAATTGAAATCTGTAAGTTAACTCTCTAAAAATCTATACATTCAATTTCTTTATGACTACGCAAAAATCACCCTCATGTGTACTCATTTTTTAAAATTTTATTTTCCATACAGCACTTATGGGCGTTGTGATAGACAAACTCCCAAAGGAAGTCATTCCCACCAGTAAGGGTGATAAACATATCAACGAGATTGTGTTGGTCGATGAAAAGTATGTCTGCCATAACACTTACATTTATTTATCACATAGCCAACCATTCATTCATATGTATAAATCAATAACAAATGCATATCATTGCAGGCTGAAACCAATATCACTGACTCTTTGGGGAGATTTTGCTGATACTGAGGGAAGCGAAATTGTCAACTTGCTGAATGAGAACGAATACCCCCTCATATCTATTGAAAATATAGGTGTCACACCCTTCAAAGGTAAATAGCTATAATAATCACTACCAATTATTTTCCAAAAAATGTTTTCCCAACACATATTTTATCAATACACAAAACTAATAGTTTTATGAATATATATAAAGTTAATACTTTTAAGCATACGCAAAGTGTAATCTTTTCAATCATTGGATGCTCCCCGCTTTAAGTTCTTGCCATTTTATTTTTCTGGATAAATTCAAATTACATAAATTAAAATGTAATACTTTTATCTGAACATGAAGAGGCGTTTTATGATTGATCACTGGACTCTAATCTTATAAGACCTCCCTTTGCAGAATATGGAGATTCTAATGCCACATGAAGATGATGGATATAAAATAATTATTATGAAGTTTCAAATCATTTATATAGCATTTGTATTAATTAATAATATATTTGAATATAAAGTAAAACAGTGTGTAGTACAACATAGCTAAAATGATCATGGGGTGGTGGTGCATATTTCAAATCTTACGTATTTTCTATTTCGAATAATGGTACATATGTATATCTACCTCCATGTCCACTTTGTCAACACATTATAGTTAAAGTATTTTATATTTCAAATTATGCCATACCATATGCATCTATTTCCTCCATATAATACTATCCTTGTATAATATACCTACATACGCAATTGTATAAAATTATTGTTGTTCTAAATTCTCATTATCACATAGTGTTCTATATTTTCACAATATATACGGGTTTTGAAGGTATTTCATTGTCCAAAAAACCCCATTCTACAGTAACAATCAATCCTATATCTTCAAGAGCTCAACAATTGCAAAAGTGGTACGTCACTGCATCACATATAATAAATATACATAATCTCGTACCAATTCCTTGTGTATGCTCTCGCATTAACATTTGTTCCATCTTGCTTTATGCAGGGCAGTTGAAAATCGTCCTACTCTTGATGCACTAAAGATATGCCGTGAATACACTAACGTTGCAATTAACCTTGAAATTCCAGTCGTTGCTGAAATTTTTAAAATATCTGAAGTACCTCCATCAAATTATCCGGTATGTTCTGCAATACTTAAACAAAATAACTAATAATAATAATAATAATAATAATAATAATAATAATAATAAATGGATCCATCATAACAATGATTGATTGCCATGTTGCAGACGAAACCCGTTTGGATTCACGGCAAAATCAATCTGCAGCTTGAAGGTGATAGTCTTTGATACATGGCTTGTAGCAACTGTTTGAAAACAGTTTATGCAGATTCTGATACAAGGTTTTTTTGCATGCATTGTGGTACGGAGGATGCAATTGCTACTCCAAGGTCAGCTATCAAAAATACCCATTTAATATATGATCAACCTTTTCTGAGTTCAAAAGTTAAACAAAATTCTATTGACAATTCTTGGATTTTTTTTATGAAATTATTAGATCCAGAGCGAATGTCTCAATCACCGATACTACTTCAACAATTGAAGCCTCGGTTTTTGGGCAATGCGTGGAAAAACTTCTGCTCATGACTAGCAAACAAATTATGGAAGTAGAGCTACAGGTTGACCAATTACCAAGCTACACTAATTTAATACTTTAAATTTAAAATACATGAAATATTATAATTTGACACTGCACAATATGTTGACCCCTTTTTATAAATTATGAAGGGTAAGAAGGCATCATTTCAATATGCAAACAAGCGCTTGGATAAGGAAGAGTATATTGTACAATTGAGGTCACAAGCAAGTACTTATCAAACCAACCCAGGACCCTCCTACACCATAACATCTTTGCATGATGCATCTCATTACATTGTCACAACCAACATTGATCCATCAACCCCTCCTTCATCAAAGATGAAGCTCCCACACTCGGGAGTAGAAGATTCGCCTGTTGATTTGAAGCGGCAGAGAAAAGCTTGATTACTTATCACCATTACCCACTACTTCTATTACTCCAACTATTTTCCTAGAACTATTGTTTTAATTTTCTTTCAAATGCTACAGCCCAATACATATTTGACTACTTCTTTGATTAAAACATTTTTGTGTTTATTATGTTTGTTTTGATATAAAACACAAATACATACTACTGTTTCATGTGAATCTCACTACTATTCTCTTTATTATAATCATTTTGTCTATTTTATTTTCCCACATATATTCTATCCTATAAATGCTTTATTGTTTATGATTCTTTATCCATAAATAACAAATTATGTATTCAACCATTTTACTCATATTAGTCATATTTTCATTAAACTTTAACTAAGATATTGTGTGTCCCTACATTGACATTGGGCATTACTACGAACGCGCAACACGCGTTATTAAACTAGTCTTAGATAACCAAGTGGTTGGATTTTTTTGTTACAACGCTTTTCATTCTTCTTTTCATTCTTATTGTTGTTGGTCACCGCAATGTTAAATCGACCACAATCATGGTTAAGAAAAAAAACTACCTCTCTTTGAGGGGACATGCCTCGCAAGAGACCTTCTCCTTGTCGTAGGGGTTGAAGTGTCGCGGAGTGCGGAGGGCAGACCGCAAGTCTGGACTTTGGAACACTGCGTCAATGTGAGAATCACTTGGAACGGATCACAATATAACAAGATATGATCAAGTCAACGCTACACCTATTCGTAGTCAACATGACCATTTTTTTATTATTTATGATTAATACGTATCTATCCTCTAATATTTTGTAAAAAAAGTCTGAATAAGAGTATTAGAACTAGATAGGATCCTTCCAACGAGCTATAAAACGACTAAGAAGTAATAACATTAATTGGGGTTAGAGAATATTTTATGGTGTACAATCTTGATTTCTTATCGTGTATTTGTGTTATAGTTAATCCAATTATCAGGACGGACCAATTTATTGTTAGGACCCCATTTACCCTTGTGCAAGCAAATTGTAACGAGTCCAACCTTTAGACATACTGAGGTTTAGTCTCGTAACCCTAAGGTATGCATAATACACATTCACGCATACTTTAGGCGTTAGAGAGAAGCTATAGCTCATTCATACACTATAGCGAAATTCTTAATCATTCTTGACATTGAATCCGAGTTCTTTTCTTCTTTGTTCTTACTATTTGAGTGTTAAATTTGGGGTTCACATGGTATCAGAGCCTAAGCGTGAAACATGTTGAATCAATCTGCACTTTCTGAACCTATCATTGACAACAATGACTAACTGCTCGAGGTTACGTCTGCAGATTCTTGGTTTGAACAATCTGCATTTGACGTTGGTCTATGTTTTCAGGGAGAAAATTGGTATATTTACAGCTTGCAGGTTTCACGAAGAAGAAGAAGAAGAAGCCTGTTCTCGAACCTCAAAGTTCGAACCTTCAAAGTTCGAGCTTTAGTTTTCGAACTCCTAAAGTTCAAATTTGAAGTTTCGAACCTTAGGTTCTTGAGGTTCTAGTTGTTGGAAAAATGTGTTAAAAATTGCATTAAATGGTCAATTAAGGGAAATATTTTGAGTGTGGTCCACTTCCGATTTGGGTCGGGTCAAAGTGGTTTCAGATTGTCATTGCGAAGTCCTACGATTCGATAAATGGTACACTCAAACCGGATAACGGGTGAATGAGAAATTGATTCTCGAAGTTCACTCGTTGAAACAGAAAAACTGGGAAAAAGGATGAGTTTCTAGTGTGATTTATCCCACACCGGAAAACCCAAGGGATTTTCACCCCCTTGTAAAGGCAACCCACTTTGAAGGAGTTAAGATTCCTACGGGGAAAGGCTCTCTTCGCGCACAGGGGGGTGCCGATCAAATCCCAAAAACGGAGAAGAAAAACCGCGACTCGTGTGTGCGGGTGACCTGCGGACACGAATGTCTTCCCGTAACGTTTTATTTTTTCCCAGAACCAGAACTGCTCCGGACCAGAAGACCTGAGAGGGTTTCTTGTGGCTTCCAAACAGAAGACCACAGGGGAGTTCTGGTGCCTTCTCAACAGAAGACCAGAGAGCAGTTCTGGTGGGGTGTTCTGGTCGCACACCTGAACCGTTACAGCAGTAAATGCCCAACGTTCATATCTTTTAATGCAGCGTTAAATGGACAGTTCATGTACGATTCAGTGCCCAACGGACTGGTCATTAATGACCAACGTTCAGGTCCAATAAAGTTGAGTTAACACACCACAAATACGTCCATATATATATATGGCAGATGTTTTGCAACAACACACGTTCATACACAGTCTACATGTAGTTTTTGAGCTAAAACACACCTCCGGTATTCCGAATAATTCCTATGTATTCTACCTTTGTTCCCGTTCGCCGGAACTTTCGTTTGTGTGCTCAAACGTTATTTCGTTAGCCACCGTATCCTGGGAAACGGTTGTTGCAATGCTCCTAGCACTGTGGGAGGCGACGAATACATTTTAAGGACATCGTGCGTAGCACAAGCTCTGGCTAAATTATGTTCCATCTAATTTTCCGTTTTCTTGAGTCATTTTAATTAATTAATTTTTATTAATTATTTTCTTTGTTTTTCGAAACACACCCAACAATCTTAAAACGTATTTTGCTAAGCTTGTATCATACGGATACAATCTTAAAACGTATTCTATGATTGTTGTACTGCGGTAAACAATCTAAAAATCGTAGTTTGTCACCTTGGTGAACGAACTTATTTTTTTGTGTTTTCGGAAAACTTAAGAAATGAAAAATGGCTTCGCAAGAAATTCAGAATGTTGGTGGGCAGAACGTGCCAAACGATAAGCATTTTGAAACTAGAGCTCCGGTGAACAATAGTTCACAACGCGGAGCATCTGCTTTGGGCAACCAAGGGGCAATCCCTATGCTTATCGTGCCGAGCAACTCTGTGGAGAAACCCAAAAAATTCAATGGGTTAAACTTCAAGAGGTGGAAGCAAAAGATGCTCTTCTACCTCACTACTCCCGGTCTTGTAAGGTTCTTGACCGAGGACGCTCCGGTTGTAACCGGAAGTGAGGTAGATGTGCAATCTCCCAACGTGGTTGAAGCATGGAAGCATTCTGACTTCCTTTTTCGAAACTATGTGTTGAACGGGCTGCATGATGCTTTGTACGACGTTTATAGCAAATTAGCTACGGCTAAGGATCTATGGAATGCTTTGGACCACAAATATAAAAGCGAGGATGCCGGTACAAAGAAATTTGTTGTCGGCCGATTCCTTGATTTTAAAATGGTGGATTTGAAGACGGTCTTGAGTTATGTTGAGGAGATGCAAATGATCTTCAACGAAATTCAAGATGAAGGAATGACAGTTAGTGAGTCTTTCCAAGTGGTGTCAATTATCCATTTGTTGCCGCCGACTTGGAAGGATTTCAAAAACTAACTTAAGCACAAGCGAAAGGAAATGAACATGGAGCAGTTGATCCTCCGTCTGCGGATTGAAGAGGATAACCGGAAGAACGATGACAAACTCCCAATCGTTACCAGCGCCAAGGCAAACATGGTGGAGCATGCAAAGGGCTCCAAAACAAAAAATAATGGGAAGAGCAAGCTCGGTCCCAATGGAGGCATTTCCAAGATGAAGTTCAATGGAAAATGCTTCAATTGTAACAAGAATGGACACAAGTCCTCGGATTGCAAGATACCAAGGAGGAAGAAAGATTCTCACGTCAATATGGTGCAAGGTGGGCAAAAGGATGAAGACATCATCCTTGCGGCCATGGTGACCGAGGTAAACCTTGTTGGATCCAATTCCAAGGAGTGGTTCGTGGACACCGGTGCAACCCGGCATATTTGCTCAAACCAGGAGCTTTTCACAACCTTTAAGCCATCAAATGGTGAGAAGGCGTGGATGGGAAATTCTGCTCATTCTACTTACTTGATTGAGTCTTCCAATGCGTGGCATGGTAGACTAGGACATGTTAATTTTAATTCTATACGTAGATTAATTAACATGGAACACGTTCCTAAATTCACAATTGATGTGAAACACAAATGTGAAGTTTGTAGAGGCAAAACTAACGAAAACATCTTTCAAATCGGTTGAAAGAAAAACGGAACCACTTGAATTAATTCATAGTGACGTTCGTGATTTTAAATCAATACAAACACGTGGCGGTAATAAATATGATGGTCCTGGATAGAGGTAAAAGTCTGGGAGGGGGGTGAATAGACTTTTAAAGCCTTTTTCAACTTTAAAAACTTTTCCCTTTTAGAAGAGTTGACCTATAATCTTTTGGGAGATTTATAGATGCACAGTGGAAGTCTTTAACCTCTATATAATCAGTGTATGACAACTTTCTAGCTTGGATGAAGTTTTGACTTATATAGTGAGCAGTTGGCTTGGCAGTTGGCTGTATAGCAGGGAACTGCGAAGGTAACTGCTGAGGAAATACTTAGTGTATGATGAAAGTGAAGATAGAATCTTGCTTAGAATGATAAGGGCTTTCTTGAAGATGTACTGAGGTGGATAAAAAATCGTACTTAATGAGAGCAATGGTCTCAACAGTTGGGTAGTTACCAGGGAAATGCTGAGGGAACTGCTTAAGTAAAAATGAGAGTATGGGAAGACTGATTATATAATATTGCTCAGGGTGAATAGAGCTTTCTCGAAATGTACTTGGATGAATTGTAGAGGAAGTTTATGAGAGCAGTGGTCTCAGCAGTTGGGTGGTTACTAGGAAACTGCTGAGGCACCTGCTGTGTAACAGCTTGATTTTTAGATAGATGTTTGAGCAAGTTCCTTTGTAAATGATGTTATAAGATCTTTGCAATGTAGAGCTGTCTCAAAGAAAGAAGGTATTTAAGCAGTAGGATAAGCAGTGCAGTCAATTGAGACTACTGCTTAGGATACTACTGGAAAACTACAATCCTTTTGTGAGAAGTGTTGGGTGTGTGCTTTGTTGAGTGAAAGTAAATCAACACATAGTATATCCTGGTTCAGAGGTGGTGTAATCCTCCTACGTTCAGTCTCACCCTCTTTCAGATGGATTTTCACTAAAGTATTAAGCCCAATACACTTAGTGTCAATCTAGCCTTTACAACACTCAGGCCTA